AAATCAGAGAATCAAGAGAGACAGGGAGGGGCTCATTTTCTGTTTCGGTTCTGTGCATATAGAATATAGTGTATTCTGTTGGGTGGTATTTGCCAGTCTTGCCTGCTTGTTTTGTTTTCTATGCCCTACCTTGAAAGGCAGTGAATGCAAAGTTCTATATGAAGAGGGAAAAATCTTTTTTCCTGCATCCCCCTATTCTCTCTAGCTTGCAGCTGCATTGCCCTAATCATGTGTTTCTGAAGTCCCTCTTGTACATCCCTCTCTAACTCTCTAACATTATATTGATTCTTGCCAAAATAATTACACATTCTGTAAAAACTCAAAACACAGACTGAAACACATGCATGTAAGTGAGCAAGCATAGGGAGAAAATAGCAGAGAAAGCATATTTCCTTGGTACAAAAAACAAGTTTGCACTTACCTATAACTGTTGTTCATAGTGCTGTCCGGTGCAGGCACATATTGGGACTGAGTGTGCCCGGGCCAGCTGTGGAGAAGAACTTTCTAGCTCTCAAAAGGTTGAAAAGGGGGCTCCCCTCCTCTCTGCATGCGACACGGCCTTTCCCACCAAAAACCACATGCCATTTCCCCTCAGTTCCTCCTGAGCTGCCCAAGCAGACATGGAGGATAAGAAAGAGGTACAAGCTCACAGTGGGGCAGGAGGGAGGGAATATGTGCCTGCACTGGAGAGCTCAACACAGGTAAGTGCAGCCCTGTTTTTGTCGTTGCTCTCCATGCAGTCCCGCATTGGGAGAGTAGCGAGCAGGCTTACCTGAAGGAGGAGGTGAGCCAATCAGTCAAACAGAAAGCGCAGGACAGCTCGGCCCACTGCTGACTCTCTCCGTGCATTCACATCCACAGCATAATGACAGACAAAAGTCTCAGAAGAGGACCGCATAGCTGCCTTGCAGATGTCATCGAGGGACACGTCTCTCGAAGGCGGCCGAAGAGGGTTGAGACCTGGTGGAATGTGCCCAAAGAAGCAAAGGACTCCACGCACCCACTTGAGTGTAACAGAGTTTAATTGTGCTCATGATCCAATGGGACAGAGTCTGAGAAGAGGCCCTTTTGCCCTTGTAGGGCACGGTGCGGCAAATGAACAGGTTCAGGTCCTTAAGAATGGACTGAGATCTGTGTAAATAATATAATAAAGCTCTATGAACATCCAGAGTGTGTAAGGCTTTCTCTGCTTCCGTGGATAGGTTTGGAAAGAATACCAGAAGATTCAGCGATTAAGATAGGTGGAAATCTGAAACGCCTTTTGGGAGAAACCCAACATTGGGACATAAAACCACCCTGTCAGTAAAAATTGGATAAATGGTTTGACCACACGAAAAAGCGGTTAATTTACCCACTCTCCTAACTGATACAATGGCCACCAGGAAGCACACCTTCAGGACAGCAAGGAGAGAGGACGGGAAAATAATAGTTAGGGGGGTTGACACATAATCTGGGGTAGGGCCAGGAATAACCTCCATTGTGGGACAATAACAGGGTGATTAGGAACCAAGTTCTTTAGTCCCTTAAGGAATATTTCCTATAGATTATGGGGAAAAATAGAACAGCCTTGCAATGAGTCATGAAAGGCGGAGATGGCTGCCCAATGGACCTTAATGGAAGTTGACACTAGCTCTGACTTTACTAGAAAATGTAAGTAACCTAAAATAATGGGCAGGGGGCAAGAAGAAGGTGGTATCCTCTCTGGATGACCCAGAGTGAAAAGGCCCTCCATTTATGGTAATAGGATCTCCTAGGACAGTTTCCAGGTGTTTAGCAGTACACTGAGAGCTTCCTTGGAAAGCCCTAAGGAAGGGTTCATGAGCCAAGCAATGAGGCATCACCTGGGAATATTGTGTTGGGCAGTTGAACTTCTGTAAAGAAGGTCTGGGGAGGTTGGGTTATAAATCCCCTTTGATAGAAGAGGGAGAAGGGAGAACCACGTCTGCCTTGGCCAGTAGGGGGCGATGAAGATACAGCGGGTGTTGTGCACCCTGATTCTGAAGAGGCATTTGTGTATGAGTTAGGTAGGAGTGAACACATTAAAAAGTGCTCCCATCCAAGGGATCTGAAAGGCATCTTTAGGGTCACATCCCACCCTGGAGCAGAATGTTTTGCCTTGTGGCAAATAGATCTATCTTGGGGGACCCCCACTGGCAGAAAACGGGGCTGAGGTACTTGTCTCATAGGGTCCATTTGTCATGCAAGGAGCCTATCCTGCTTAGGGTGTCTGCAGTCCTGTTGGATGTACCAAGGATGTGGGTGGCCTGGAGGAAAACATTGTTTGATAATGCCCACTTCCAAACTTCCATAGCCCCTGTGCATAGAGAGAGTGAGGCCACGGCCTCCTACTTCTTGACATAAGCCATGGTGTTGCCCATTTGTATTTAGATGACCTTGCCCTGAAGAAGTTCAGCAAAAGAGGTAAGTTCATACCTAATAGCATGTAACCGCAAAATGTTAATGTGAAGTTTGTACCATGGGGTAACACATCTGAACAATGCCCCCCCCCCCAACCCACCATATATGCATCTGTGGTTACGGCAATAGATTGCTCAAGGGTTTTCCCTTTGGCTTTTTTGTGCCAACTATCCTCTAGGGCAGGGGTGTTGAACTCCTTTGTTAGCAGGGCTGGATCTGACATAAATTGGACTTTGTGGGGCTGGGCCATGCATGTCATAAAATATAATGCCAGATTAGCAGAGATATAAACTTTATAAAAGATACAAACACAAATATATATATTTTTACTTAAAATACAAATATGCTTAAAACTCTTGTAACATTGTGTTTATTTAACAGTCTTTGATAACTGACACCTCCCAAACCTTCCCCGCCCCTTAAAAGATGCCTGCCTGAAATGGAAAGGTGAAATAGTGGGAGTTGGCAATGCAATTTTTAAAATAAAACATCAAGAAAAAGCACAAGGATCATAGCAGGAACTAAAGTATAAACTATAATATAAAATATAAACTAAATAAATAAAATATAAACACTTCAGAAAAATAATAAACTAAAAATATAAAATGCTGTGAGCCTAGAAACATGAAATGGCTGGGCATTGCAAACTTCTCCCCTCTCCCCCAGGTATACTCAAGAGTGGCAGTGGCTCTCCAGTGTAATGTCCTCCTTTGGCTGTGGGTTCCCAGGTTAGAGTACTCACTCAGGCACCCGTTCTCAGGGCCATTCAGCAGAGACAAGCTGGCTCAAAACAACCTTGTATTTGCAAGGAGACAACTCCAGCAAGCAGCAGCTTCAGCTATACAAACACTGGAAAGTGAAACTACTTGAGCTCCACTCCATTGAAATACATTGCAGCACAGACAAATTTGCAAAGAAAATGTGGAATGGATTTCCAATTAAGGTCTCCGGGCCCAGATAGACTACTCTGGGACTGGAATGACAGCCACCAGAGTGAAATGACAGTCCCTGGGAGTAGCAGAAGTGTTCTGGGATTGGAATAAGGGCCCCCAGAGTGGACAGCCCCAGACAGGGACTGTCATTCCACTCTGTGTCCTGTCATTCCAGTCCCAGAACACAGATTCTATTGCTAGGGACTGTCATGCTACTTTGGGGGCTGTCATTCCATGAGGACTGCAAGGTCTTATGCTTTGACTTTGATTTGGCTTTTTGGGGAGGCAGTTTTGATGCACTACTTTGAGCTGCCAGAGGGGACGGGGATCTGGATCTGTGTTGAGATGGATCCAAAATTCTGGCCAGGAGGACTCCTCCAACGCAGCAGACAGCTTTGCTGCCAAGTATCAGAGTGAGTCAAAGCCTTCTCCCAGAGGGCTGCCTTGAGTGTAAAGGCTCTATCTGCCGAGCTTTAGGGATGAAATCCTGGCAGTGGCAACATGAGTCCACATTATGAGACTCACCCAGAAATAGTAAGCAAAGGGAGTGCTCATCGGTGTGGGGCATTTTTGTACCACATTTGGCACATTTCTTAAAAAGAGACCGCTGAGACATAAAATAATATTTGCTAAAAGCTGACAAGATTGGAGAGCTAGGAGAACATGTCTTATGCTGGCGGCAGCAACGAAGGAACTGGGGAAATGGCAGCTCTCCCCTCAGTGCGTGATAATTTTCACATGGAATTCACTGCCACAGGAGGTGGCGGCGGCTACAAGCATGGACAGCTTCAAGAGGGAATTGGATAAACATATGGAGCATAGGTATATCAGTGGCTAATAGCCACAAGGTATAGATAAGGACTCTCAGTCTGGGGCAAGTGATGCTCTGTATTCTTGGTGCTTGGGGGGGGGCAACAGTGGGAGGGCTTCCAGTGTCCTGGCCCCATTGCTGGACCTCCCGATGGCACCTGGTATTTTTGGCCACTATGTGATGCAGAGTGTTGGACTGGGAGGGCCATTGGCCTGATCCAACATTGGCTTCTCTTATGTTCTTATGATTTTTGGTGGGGAAAGCCGCATCTCATGCAGAGGGGAGGGGCACCCCCTTTTCGACCTTTTGAGAACTAGAAAGATCTTCTCTGCAGTCGACCTGTGCAGATGCAGTCCCAATGTGTGCCTGCACAGACAGCAACAATTAACTGGATGTTCTTTATAAGTAGTTCTGTTTTAGTTCATCTAGGCTACTTTTTCATCCTTATTAATATTGTTTCTTAAATTCTGCTCAGCTAAAGCCCTCAGGGTGGTTTTCAGTTTTTTAAAATAAAATCAAACATGCATAAGCGAAGGTGAATAAACAATACTCAATGGAGCGCGTTACTGTAATATCTTGTTTATGTCTGACTAATTTCCCTCTAACCTATGTTTCCCCCTTTTAATACTAAAAATAGTAGCTAAGCACTAGTTAGTCCCACATACTAAGATTCTTCTTTCTCCAGTCCATTGCAATTTTCTGCTATTAGCAGCAGATATGGTATTAGTGGATATTTTTTCAGCATTGCATCTCTCTCTTTGCTAGTGGTTCAACAGAAATGTACCTCAGTACCTACAGGTAATCTACTTTCTATTGTTTGTGCTGTTGTGCATCTGGCCAAGCTACTAGTGGTTGTTTTGATGGTGATTCTCATTATCATTAATTTTAGGAATTATTTTCGTTTGGTAGGATTATGGTGGCCCTAACATATAATCTAAATTCTGACAGATTACCCACCATTTTAGAATTGTGTTTAGGATTGTACTGTAAAGTGTATAAGCATCCTTTTCCATACAAAACACCCTTTCCCCAACAAAACCCCAGGTTTTTCTGAGTCCTCTGCTAACTTCTCTACTCATTTTGGTTAAGCCTGTTGGAGTGAGCTGGTTTATAGTACCTACCTCCTCTATATAGTGAGTATATTGTGTACTGCTTGTGAAATACCCAACACTTAAGAGGTGGATTCACTACTACAGGATCAAGTAGATAGCTTTAACCTTCTTTCCTTGGGCCCAGTCACTGAGACTTCCCTATTTTTAGTGTGGTTTCTTGTCTCTGGGCCCAACATGAGGCTTATGTATTGCTAGGATACTGTGGTGCCAAGACCAGAGCCAGAAATAACTCTGCCCAAGGATGACACAGGGTGGGCAGCTGACATTCTCTGGGTTATGCGTGTGCCAGTTCACATGCAAGTATGTGAACACCAACTGTAGAGCTGTTATTGGTTTTTGCCTCATGTTTTCAAATATACCACTTGACAGTTTGGGATACTGTAGACAGGTTATAATTCCAGCGTGATTGTCCTGGGTTATATCTTAAGGAACAACTAACAATCCTTGTGGTTAAACAAATTGTTTGTCCTTGAAACCACTATCCTAAATGTGTGCCTAATTCTGAACCAAAATATTAGTGGCTGAGTGCATAAAAACAGGAGGGGAGGGGTTAGCCTCCGTCATCCTCTGTATACTATTTCTATTTTCACACACACACACACACACACACCCTTCCAGGCATGATTATGGGTTGACCATACGGAGGAACTGAGGGTAAGGGAAGGTGTCAGGTGGTTGTTATATTAGGGAGAGGCTCTGGGGAGCACACCCACAGTAGCAGTGGTAGCCAGTAGCTATTTAGGAACAAGAGTGCAGGGCAATTGATTAGGTTGCAGACTCCCAGTACTGGTGACTTTTTTCATCCTATAAGAGTATTGACATGGGAGAAACTACTTCTATGGAGCTTCTCCCATCACGTAGTACCTGCCGAGTTTGCTCCTGCAACACAAGTTATGAGCATGGGCAGAACCAGAAGCTAAAGTGCTTGGGAAGGGGGTCACTTTTTCTGTGGGCTACGTATTAATGTTCAGATCAATCTCATCTTGTGCCTTTTTTGTTCCAAACCTAATATTTTTTTTTATTAAACCCCACCTTAGATTTCATGTTTGCAACTTGTACTGTCCACATACCCTGCAATTATCAAGTAATCAATGTGCCTGTAGCACACAGAGAGTTTCCTTCTAAATTCAAAAGACTTTACCTTGTGCAATATCAACAAGAATATGTGTAATTAAGTCTGTTGATAAGCTTTGGGTACTAATAGGATTGCCGATTTCTCAAGCAGAGATAATTACTGTCTCTTTTAAAACTCCGGAGCTATAAAAGAGTGGGAGCTGCCGCCGAGCCTTCTGTGTCAATGGTCACTTCAGCGACTCTCCCTTTCAGTCTGGGAGGGAGCAATGAGCAACTTCAGTGTGGGCAGAGCTGCTGACATCTGGGTACCTCAGAACTCTTTAAGGCAGAGACACTATTCCCAGTTGAGGACCTGGCACTTGTCGCTGTCCATATTAATAGTTCTGTCTAAAGAGATGTGGGGATTGAATGTTCAAAATGCGTGGACAGGTTTTATTACTTATTTAGAGTCATTCCCAGTACCTGGTGTTTATAGACAAAAAGGGCCCTGCTTGCCTACACCTGTGTTTATTATAAATCAGAGAAGGAAGGGAAGAACACACACTGGTAAATAGTAAACTAATGGATTAATTAATGCATTAAAGCAAAGGAAGATGCACTCATGGTTCCTGAAAGCCTATTCCAAGACCTAGCTCTAAAGTCCTCAAATTAAACCCAAAGTAATCAGTTTAATATACCATTTGATGCATGCAGCAATATGGAGTCCTCCTTACACATGCACACAATTTATACATACAAAGCAAAGCCCATTGCCTTGCAGGATTTATGGGGTTAAGTGAAAAGCAGCTGGAACCTTCATTCTCTGAAAGAAATCCATGGGGTCTTCTAAGACCTCATCCCTGTCCTGACTATGAGCAGTCTGATCTTAGATAGAATCCTCAGTTGAACATAATTTTGTGTAGTGCTGTTGAATGGTTCAGACTCTTAAACCGCCATCTCCTCCTCTACAGACAAATCAAAAGCAGGCTCTTCCTGGCGTGAAAGAGGAGTGGGTTATGATAGTACATAACATAGAAGATGATTAGTCTTTAAGGTGCTACTTACTCTTACTCTTTCTACCACTACAGACAGACTAACGGCTACCCATCTTGATCTATTCTGTACATCCGTCCCTCATGAGTAGTCCTGTAATTCTGAACTGAACTGGGGAGATACCCTAAACCCATCTAACCCCATAAATAGCGATGATGAGGGATACTCCAAGGCCAGCCAGTCAAGTGCAAGGGGAATCTTGGATGCCAGAATAGAGACGGGGGGGAGGGGTTTAAACAAATTAATCACCAGAAAGTTACCTGTCCTCTTGGACAGCAAACCACAATTCTACATAGAATACACAGATCAGGGTGATATACTGTTAGCTGTTGTTGCTGTTGTTCAGTCGCACAGTTGAGTCCGACTCTTTGCGACCCCATGGACCAGATCACACCAGGCCTTCCTGTCTTCCGCCGTCCTCTGAAGTTGGCTCAATTTCATGTTCGTTGCATCGATGACACTGTCTAACCATCTCATCCTTTGCTGTCCCCGTCTTCTTTGACCTTCAATCTTTCCCAGCATCAGGGTCTTCTCCAGTGAGTGCTCCCTTCTCATTTGGTGGCCAAAGTATTTGAGCTTCAGTTTCATTATCTGGCCTTCCAGGGAACAGTCAGGGTTGACTGTTAGCTGTATGGCACCACAAACAATAATGCACTGTAAGCAGTGCTTATCTATATCCTTTTAATGGGAACAAAGAAAACTTTTATGAGGAAGCCCTACAGCTTGATGTTTGTCTGAAGTAAGCAAGAAGCTGCTGAAGAGGAAAGCCTACACCAGGAAAAATAACAGGAGCTGAGGATATGGTGAGTATTTCCCCTTAAAAGGTATAACAGGGGTGTGCGACCTGTGAATGGTGCATGGATGGGAGTACCCTTTTATCTGCCCCCTTACAATTCCCTCCATAATCCCTCACATCAATCTAGAATTCTGTCTGATACAAAAGCAGCTCCTACAAAAGAAAAGAGTTTCTTGTCTTAACTTTCCTGTTCATTACTTCTGCCTGGAGGTTGCTCTGCGCAAGTCCTGACAAAGCCAGCAACATTCCCAAATGCTGTGGTAATGGATGGGGGCAAAAGCACTGAGAGGCATGAAAGAGAAGGTGCTTGTGCACACGTGTGGCTGGTTGCCTCTGGCCCTAGAGATGTAAGAGCACTCCTATATGTGACCTATTAAAATTGGCAATAAGACCCACCAGATGACAAAGGCCGTGGACTCCTGGCCCACCTCTGTAAGTTCTTGTGATCAGCAGTGATTCTGTATGTGCTGCTTGTGGGCTGTAATGTGCATAAAGAGGCTGCAATATGACCTGGGTGTCTTTAAATGGGTGGAACCCAGCACTTAATGGTGATCTCTTCCAGAAACATCCTTAGCCCCTCTCTTCCAGAAACATCCTTAGCCCCTCAGACCATAGGTTCATGTCTCAGAGTCTGTTCAGAAGATGGAAAACAGACTTCCGGTCCCTTAAATGATCTACATCCCAGTAAGAAAGTGTTTGCATCTTTTCAATCTGCTTAAGTTGTACTTGATCCTGAAATCTCCTCCTCCATCATCTCATGCCTGTACAATGTAACTGACCAGGACCGGACCCAAGGTGGAGCCAGATACTGTGTATGTTTACTAAGAAGTAAATCTTCCTGTGCTCACTGGGGCTGTAAGCACCATACCTTGGACGAAGGGCTTCTTTAAAGCGATCAATGTCAGGGAAGGAGGCACGGCCGTGGTTTGGCAATGAGGCGCCTTGGAAAAAGTTAGTTCTGTACAACTCCCGGCCACAGCCGTTAGAGGCGGCGCTGCAAGAGAGTCGGCTGCGCGGAGGCAATTTGGGAGTGGAAGTAAGTTGCAGCCCGGGGGCAGACTTTTCTGCGGCTTGCGTGCGCAAAGCCCCAGTCCCAGGGAGAGCCGGGGCGTGCTGGCGCTTGCAGCACCTGCAGGGAGGGAGGAGGCGAGGGGGCCGGCTCGCCCTTCCTCCACCCCCCCCCCCTCGGGCGCTGCTGGCTTTCCTGCGCGCCTCCTCCTGGCCAGCGTCGCCGCCGTTCCCCTCCCCTCCCCCGGGGGCCGTGAGCAGGGGCAGTTGCGGCAGGTACCCAGGGGCAGCCTCGGCATAGCTGGCATTCCAGCCGAACAGACGCCCCTCCGAGGAGTAAGGCGCTCCTTTCAGCGCCCCCGTTTCCGCAGCACTCTTCGGAGGCGGGGTTGGGGTTCGCCAGGCCGCCTGCCCTCCCCTCCCCACCCCCGGCCCGCCCTTTAGTTTCCAGAAAGGGAGGGAAGGATGATCCGCGGGTCCCTTCGGCGATTTGGGGTGCGGATTTGCGGTGCCGCCAGGCCAAGGAGAGCTGCTCCCTCCAGAGTGCTTTGAAAGCAAGGGGCTTCGACGGGCCTCCCTCTGCTAAACCCGTCGCGTGGCCGGAGGCAAGCGGCGCTAGTGCCACGAGAAAGCTGGCGTGCGGCGAGACTGGGCGTTTGCTGCGGCCAACTTAGCCCGGCGCCCTCTCCGGAGTCTGGGGGTCCTGCTGGGACAGGCTGGCCCCTCCGCGCGCGCACCCCCCCCTCCGGATTCGTGGCAGGTGGCGAGGGCGGCACGTGCCCAGCGCAGCAGAGGCGAGAGTGGCGAACGGGCTCGGCAGCCACAGGTGGGAGCTCATGGCGCGCGGGGGGGGGAGGGGGGGGCTTCACAGTAATCAGCCCGCAGCCTGAAAGCCGTCCCGCGCGCTCTGGCGTCAGCAGCCGAAGTAGCTGGTGGCGCGGGACGCTGCTGTTTTTCCTCCCACCCCGTGTCTAATTAATGAGCCCCCTCCCGCCTCGCCCAGGTCGCCTTTCCCCCGCGCTCCGTTGCAGGTGGGCGGCTGTGCCTGCCTGTTGGCCGTGTGTGGCTGGCTGAGGCGGCGCTTCCCTCGGCAGCCCTGTCCCGGCCGCTCCGAAGGGTGACCCCCGGGGGGCCTAGATTGACGCGGGGAGGGGAGGTCAGCTCGGCTGGGCTGGGCTGGGCTGGGCTGGCAGCGGAGGGCGGGGCGAGCAGCCGCCTGACCCTTCGCTCCGGACAGCTCGGCGCTGCTTGAGCGGCCGCGAGTGAGCGGAACTTTCCTTTTGTTGTGGCAGCGGCGGCGGCGGCTTTCGCCTTTGTCCGGCTCCTTCCGGGGAGGGGAGGGGCGGGACGCAAGAGGCACAAGTGGCCGAGGAGCGCCAGGGGGAGGCGGCGGGTGGCGAGTCCCGGGAGCCGTCGAGCGCGCCAGGGCACAGCCAGGTAAGGCCAGCGGGGCGCAGGTGGGAGGGAGGCGTCGGGCCCTTGGGCTCAACTAGTCGCGTCTCCCCGGCTCGGGGAAGCTGCAGTCCCTCCCCCCGCCCCCCTTGTTGCCAGGTGGGCGCAGAGCACCGACTTTCCGGACGAGGCGGAGGCGGCGGCGTGCCCAGCGCAAAACGCCTCCAAGGAGGGTTTCCCTCTATGGGGGGGGGGGTTCAGCCCCCCGCGCGCGGAGGTGCCTGTCGTTCCCGGCAGCGCCGATTCTCGGTGGGCGAGGCGGCGAAGGGCGCGCGGCCGCGTGGGCTGCCCTTGGGGGCTCTCTGGGGGCGGGGATCTGGCCGGGGCGAAGGGCAGGGTCTCTTCAGGGGCGAAGACGGGGGAGGCTGGTTATGGATGGCCCCCACGAACCGTCTGGTCGTCGGGCAAGATCCTTTGCTGGGGTCCGGGGGATATGTCCCCAGTCCTCTGGGTAAAAATCCAAGCTAAAAGATCCAGGAACTGTTTTGCTCCCAGGAAGTGCCTCGAGGACTAGCAAATCTGCCTGTGAGATTTGACTGACTGGACTTGGGGTCCTTGCTGTCTAGGTGGCCCAGTGACTCTAAGTGGAGAGAATTCCAGCTGCTGATATGCCCTCAGGATGGACGGCTGCGTGGTACAGCCCAATCTGGTCACATCTGGGAAGCTAAGCAGGGTCAGTACTTGCAAGGGAGACCTGCAGACTCTGCAGAGGAAGGCAGTGCAAACTGCACATACTCTCCTGCTTGAGGGGGTGTGAGAGTGTGTGTGTGTAAAGTGCCATCAAGTCACAGCCTACTTAGGGTAACCCCATTGGGCTATCAAGGCAAGCAACTAAGCTGAAGTAGATCCAGGTGGTCTGAAGCAGTAGAAGAAAGTTTGGGTCTAGTGGCACCTTTAAGACCTTGATGCTTGGGGGGGGGGCAACAGTGGGAGGGCTTCTAGTGTCCTGGCCCCGTTGCTGGACTTCCTGATGGCACCTGGTATTTCTGGCCACTGTGTGACACAGAGTGTTGGACTGGGTGGGCCATTGGCCTGATCCAACATTGGCTTGTCTTGTCTTCTTATGTTCTTAAGACCAACAAAGTTTTATTCAAGGTTGGTCTTAAAGGTGCCACTGGACTCAAACTTTGTCCTACTGCTTCAGACCAGCAGGCTACCCACCTACTTCAGCTTAATTGCTTGCCTTGAAAACCCTATGGGATTGCCCTAAGTAGGCTGTGACTTCATGGCACTTTACACACACACACACACACACCCTCAAGCAGGCGAGTATGTGCAAGTGGGGAGGAAGTTAAGCCCAGGCACTTGCTACGTCCTCTGCAGGAGTTGCTACCTTTGGGCTTGGTGGAGGCCAGTGTTCCCTCTAAGCTGAGTTGGTGTGAGCTAGCTCACAGTTTTTTAGCCTCCAGCTCACACATTTTTGTCTTCGTTCAGGAAGGAGGGCTCCAGAGCAAACTGATTTATGCAGAAGCCAAACCTCTCGCTTACAACTTTAATGCCAGTAGCTCACAAAGCAGAATTTTTGTTCACAAGACTCCACAGCTTAGAGGGGACATTGGTGGAGGCACCCCTAATTGCCAGTACTGCAGTATGATTCAGTGAAATCAACAGGTAGTGGGTTTGGGACAGACAAAAGTATTTCACACAGTTTGTGGAACTCACTGCCACCAGATGTGGCAACAATTGCTGGATGACTGTAGAAAGGGACTTGACAAATTCATAAAGGATCAACAGTTTTTAGCTCTGATGGCTAAATGGAAACTTTATGTTCAGCATCATGAACCTGAGCTCCAGCTGAGCATAGTTTGTGGAGGGAAGATCTGTTGCCTTGTCGCTCTGCCTATGAATTTCCTGGTGGCTTGTTTAGCAGTGATGGGAAAGAGCATGCTGAAGCAGCTGGGCCTTTGGTCTGATCCAGCAAGCTTTTGCTTCTGTTTTCTCATCGTGGTCATTTTCACGTTTTCAGAATGTGAGCATTAATAGCTTCTGCATCTGGGTTCTGGAGGGGGGGGTCTACTGAAGGGAGGGGTGGTTGCAGTTGTCTAAGAGAATCAATCACCTGCTGTGTGATGGGCTTCATTATTTGTTTGAACAGCAGCTATGGAGGAGACCAAGGAATCATTACAAAGGATTTGGAAAGTGGTTCCCTTGCCTCCAAACCTTCCTTTTCTCTTCCCTCCCCCATCTAGATTAGAGGCTAGATTCTGCATATCAGTAGGCTCAAGGGGTCTGAATGGAAAAGAAGTTAATCAGCCAGGCCAGTCCAATCAGAAGGCTAAAGAGAGGTTGCAGTTATACCACCTCTAGCCATTTGGCAGAACTTAGATGTGAATCTTGCTGCTCCTGTATGTTAACTCCCTTAATCTGAGCAGTGCAGGGATGATGGTTCTGTGCTTTCCAAGTCTTAAGATGAATGACGTTGAAAGTAAAAGGAACTGAGTACTGTCCTCAGTCAAGTGCATTGCAGTATGCCCCACTCCTGTTAATTTGATGTGCACACTGGGGGGGTCAATGGGTATAGTCACTGTGTGACAACTCTTCTGCAGATGGTTCCAGTGCACTGAAGGATGGGAAGGAAGGGCTGCATGAAAGCTCTTTGCTAGGGCTTTGTGGCAGTTAGGTTTCGCTGGGGGAGGGGGAGAGCAACTGGACAGGAGCCAAAGAGCACTGGGAAGCCATGGGGATCGCTTTCACCGTCCTTGATGGAGTTCATGGCTACAAACAATCCTGAGGATCAGGGTGTGTGGATGCTCCCTGATGTGTGCCTTTTTCCTCCCCTTGTGTGACGCTAAGTTTTTAAAAATTGTTATTTTGTTTATTTGCTTAAGTTATAGTCCTTTTTTTTGCTGAGGCTCAGAACGGATTGCAACTTTTCTAAAAGAAGGAGCAGTGCACTAAAAACAGTGTAATAAATACAATAAACAAGGCATTAAAACTGGTTTGCAGAACTGGAAAACAAGACAACAAAAACAATACAATGCTTACAGTAAACAATGCAATTAAATTGCTTAAAAATTGTCATAGACATGAAAATGACAACCGAAGAGTTCCATTTTAGAAGTGGTTTAAGAATGGAACAGAACGATCCTAGTAGAGTTACACCCTTGAGTCCACTGAAGTCCATGGGCTTAGGGAAGTCAGTGTAACTCCTTAGGATTCAACTGTCAGTGATTAATTCTGCACCCATACTTTGAATACCCATGTTTAGTAGACCAGTTATTCCTCCCCCCACCCCCGGTAAACAGATAGATTATTTGGGGAAGTTCTTCGCGTTTGGAATCTTCTGCATACTGGGCAAATTAGTGCGTGTGGAAAAGGCCATCATTTGACTTTGCAACCTGTATTTTACCCCCAAGGGGCAGGCAAAATAAAAGGCTGAAGTCTGCACTGTTTCTGGAGGATGGGGATCCCCTCCCAACTCCTCCTCCCCTGCCTCCCATGTCATGAGGAGGTACGCATGCACGGTCCTTGCGGTGAAAACTGAGTTTTCCTCTGAGGGCATCTTGAGCCATACTTCTGTAGTGCTTGGAACTCCCTTCTGTGAGAACTGTAGGGAGGCAGTGTATTCTCTCTCTCTCTCCCACTGAAAATGGAGATCGCAGCAGGGCCTGCCCAGTTTTTTTGCAGAGTTCAGGTACTGCCCACCTGCCTCATTTCAATCAGGCAGGTGGCAAGTCTTCTTTGACATTTTCCATTTTGCACATGCGCAAGTAAAGACAGGGAACCCCGGGAGACTGTCTGGGCTGGAGTTTCTCTGGGAACAGTGTTAACAAGAGGTGCAGATGCTTTTGCACTCTGCTGAGCAGGGAAGTGAGGTAGAGCTGTGAATGTGTTTTCCGCTTGGTTTGAATGACCAGTGACCCTTCAGCCTAAATGGAGTGTCTGTCTGGTTGGTAATTGCCTCGCAGGTCTCTGAGGAATGCAGCAGTCTCACTGGAGACTGCAAGGTTTAAGGATTAGGTTTGTGAACAGTGGGATGCTAAGCTGGAAAGAGAAAAAATCACATGAGAAACTCTTGCCTCCTTTAATTCTTGCCGGTCAGTAGAGAAAGAGGCCAGATGCAACCCCTGGTGAGCATGAGGAGAAGTTTCATCCAGGAGTAGGCAACTGAATTTTATTCTGTATTACAGTTACAGGGTTAGAGAGCCAGCGTTGTGTAGTGGTTGGTGTGATCTGGGAGACTCACGTTCAAATCTCCACTCTCTCGTGAAGCTTGCTGGGTGATCTTGGGACAGTGAAACATCCTCGGTCTAACCTGCCTCGCAGAGTCGCTGTGAGGATAAAGTGAAGAAGGAGAGAATGTTGTGAGCCACCTTGGGTTTCTGTTGGGGAGAAAAGTGGGTTATAAATGAAGTAACATTCCTTTGGGTTAAT